CGAAGGCAGAGGCTTTAACCCGCTGAGCCACCCAGGCGCCCCTGAAATTTTGAGTCATTTTAAACCTATTTCTCTTCCTTATTTTCTCCACATCCCATTAGTCTCCACATTTTCTTTTTTCTTCTTTTTTTTTTTAAATATTTTATTTATTTATTTGACAGGGAGAGATCACAAGCAGGCAGAGAGGCAGGCAGAGAGAGAGGAGGAAGCAGGCTCCCTGCTGAGCAGAGAGCCCGATGTGGGGCTCGATTCCAGGACCCTGAGATCATGACCTGAGCCGAAGGCAGCGGCTTAACCCACTGAACCACCCAGGCGCCCTGAGTCTCCACATTTTCTTGATCTTCTTCTTTACTCACATATTGAATGCTAATTGTGTGCCACATACTATGTCTGGAGCTTACAGTCTAGCGAGAGTGCTACACTAATAAGATGATACTACTATGTGACAGCCACAACACCACGACATGGGTGTCACTGAAGGCCACAGGAGGTCAGTGAGATTCCCAAAAGGGGGAAGCAGGAAAGAAGGGTGCTGTGGGTCAAGAGGGTTGCATGGACAAATGTGTGAGAGTGCATGGAATATTTTGGTACTTACAAATGCGGGGATGGTAAGAGAAGGGGACGTGAGCATGTAGGATTGGATACTGGATGTCCTTTTAAGTTAGGTCAGGGAGCCTGGACTTTAGCCTACTCACAGGAAAATTTTAACTTGGACAGTGACAAGACCAAATGTGCTTTTCAGAAATATCAAGCAAGAATCCAACCAACCTGAGCAAAGGTAGTGGCAGTGGGAGATGAAGAGAAAGGGGGCAAATCTGGTTGAAATGGAGAGGACATGGTAATTGATGGGTGTGGAGGAGTAAAAGGAAGGCAAAAGTCCATGACGACTCCCAGGTTTCTAGCTTGGAGCTCTAAGTGCTTGGAATACAAGATTGGAAGATACGAGTCCTTAGGAATATTTCCTCAAAATGTTTTATTGAACCATTCGCTCTTTTCTATTTCTAGTGTACCTTAAAGTCTGGGATCATACTACTTCATGCTGACACTGACAGAAGGGAAAAGGGTCAAAATAGAGTTCAGTGTTCATCCAACCTTAAAACATAGACAATTCATTACAAAACATCTTTTGATTATACAATTTCCCTTTTCAAAAATGTTCACTAGCTCTCTACCGCTTATATGAGTAAGCCTAAATGCCTAAGTTGAGCATTTGAGGCCTTCTGTAATTAGGTGGGAGCCTGCCCACCTACCTATCTTACTATTTTGCAAAAGGAAACTTCCACTCCAGGCAGCTGGCCTGATCTACTCTTCTCTAAGTAAGTCATGTACATTCTTGCCTCTCTGCTATTTCTCATGCGATTCTGCTCTCTTAGAATACCACCGTCCCCCTAATAAATCCACCTCTTCAAAAAGCCTTCTCTCAGAACTAAATTCTTTACTGATCTTTGTACTGTTTAATTTATGTGTATTATATATACCACTGTACTGTTAGTTTTCTCTTGTTTTTCTGGCACCTAAAGGGCAGACACAGTTATAAATAGGTCTTTTCTTCCTTAGCACCCAGCACAGTGGCTTTCATACAGAGGATTCTCAAAAAATGTTTGTGATTTAACAGATATATACTTAAACTGACTTCATTTGTGATTATTAAAGCTACAGTATAATTTGTGTATTAATTCTCCTTATCATTCTTTAACACACTCAAGGCCCCTAGAATTAAATATATATACATTTCAAAAAAAGATTAGTATGTAATAAGTGCTGGAAAATGAGCAGAATAAAACAGTGGGGGAGATTTTTGGAAAGGAGCACTTTTATAAAGAAAGGATGGCACAGATGAGAGATACTCAGAAGAAAAAGGCAAATCAAGAATAGCTCTTTCCTATCAGAAGCATAAGAAAGAAAGAAAAGGTGAATTATGATTTTCAGCCAATGATAGTGGCTGGTGAACTCTATATGGAAGAGAAAAGGAGAAAAATAAAAGTTGTGAAAGCTGAAGAAGGTAAACATAGCTATTGTAAACTGTTTTCTTCCAGAGCTCTTAAAACAAAATATTGTTTTCTCAATAGGCAAATGAAATGCTAACATTAAAATAAAAGAGAAAATAAAGCATAAAGAAGCTGGAAAATATTACTGTTTGAGAGGAGTTCGGCCACAAAGCTGGTAATCTAGGAACTCAAAAAGGCTGTGGACCTATGTCTTACCCACCCCGCCCAAAAATGTCCAGACTGAAAGAAAATAGATGTCAGAGTACGGACAGGAAATAGGCAATGGGGCAGGGGAATGAGGGAGAGCAGGGGCAGGGGAACAAGAGCCTAAGAGGTTTGTCTTCAAACAATTAGGGAGAGGGCTAGGGAGCCTCCAACCCATGAGCACTGGGATAGCAGGGAAATTATTTCTTATTATTTGGTGACTTTTACCTTTGACTTTACTTTTCAAGATTATATAGAACCTATTATTGGAGCAAGTCAGCTTGTGTATGTATATACCAATATGTTTAGTTCTGTGTTTATCTGCCAGTTATTTTTTATATTTGAAAATTTAATGTACTATACTTGAGCCCAAGTCATTTTATGCAAAGGTTAAAATTTATTAAAAAATTGCAAAAATAAACACTATCTTCTTCAAGGTCAATATGATAACTCAAACCACCATACTAGGGTCTACTTTAAAGCACCCTTACTCTTATTTTATTTTTTTAATTTATTATTTTTTGAAGATTTCATTTACTTATTTGACAGAGAGAGAGAGAAAGAGTACAAGCAGGGGGAGCAGCAGACACAGGGAGAGGGAAAAGCAGGCTCCCTGCTGAATAGAGTGCCCAATGTGGGACTTGATCCCAGGACCCTGAGATCATGACCTAAGCGGAAGGCAGATACTTAACCAATTGAGCCACCCAGGCGCCCTATAAAGCACCTTGCTTTTGAAAGGCATTTTAAAAACCAAGAAACAGACTCTTAATTATAGAGAACAAACTTATGGTTACCAGGGGGGAGGTGGGTGGAGGATGGGTGAAATGGGTGATGGGGATTAAGGAGTACATGTGTTGTGATGAGCACAGGCCGTCATATGGAAGTGTTGGATCACTATATTGTATACCTGAAACTAATATTACAGTGTTTGTTAACTAACTGGAATTGAAATAAAAATTAAACTAAACTAAAAAAGACATCTTAAGAGCATAGAAAGGAGCTCCCACGAGAGGGCGCTTCAACCATTTTAGTATGGGGCCATAAGCTAAAGCTTCAATATAGATACATACACACTTAACTATTCATAGAAATTTTTTCCAAATGAGAAAAAAGACAGGGACAGTTGCCCATGCTATATGACTTCATAAGCAGTTTCCTGTAGTTACCTAAAATGAAGACTTGTGCTTCATGTCTTTTTTCCTCTTTTGCCTTTTGCAGAAATATCTTTTCTCGAGAGATAAAATTAAGATGATCCATCTCAATAAAAGAACACAGCTGTTGTGGTGGCTGCTGCTGCTCTGCCCAGCAAAGCAAATGTCCACCCTAAGTCAGTGACTTACGGACTAAAGACACCCCCCTCCCCAGGCTGTTATTCTAATATTATGCCATTTAGCTGCAGGTACATCAAGTTGATTAACAGTTTTCCTTTGCTATAGTCAGCCTCAGGCTCTCAAATGTAGGGTCCTAGAATATTCAAAATAACTTAAAATATAAGTAGTTACAGTCTTCTTTTTGGGTTTAATCCCTTATAGAACAAGACTACTTTCTTTTTTTCAATCTCCCAGCTTGTTCAAAGTTTTCTCTTAAACAACTGTTGAGAATTCCAACTCACTTCTTGCTGCTTTCAAGCCTGTTAGATGACCAATAATTCTGATCTCAATGGCTAAAGACACCTCTGACAAGAGCTGTGCTGTATCTCTATTGTTTCTTCCCCTGGTTCATACTCCAGTTAAGGCCTTTTCATGGCCTGACACTTACTGGGGTTAAAGAAGCTAGTGGAATAAAAGTTAGAACGTGTATACATTTCAAGTTCTCAAATTCTGCTACTGTTACATGCTAATTTAAAATAACAGTAATAATTAATAATAAATAATTGGACCACCCAGCTGAAGTCTTGACTTTATGGGTGGGAAAAGGAGAGGGAATCCAAACTGACTTCTTTACTGTTCAGGCCCTAGGCTCTATTTTCTTCCTGTAGGTTCTAGGCTGTCAGAAATACCAGTGATAAATACCCTAAGGGCAAATGCCAGTTCTTCTGCTGGTTCATTCCTATTAATTAATGTTTACATTATTTCTAGCCTCTAAAGAATTCCCTTACTTTTATGACTACTTATCCACACACATTTTTAAAAAGGCATTTCTTAGATTTTAACCAGCAGTTTTCTACTTGCTATAGGAGAGGTGGAATGGTGATCACAGCACTGACTTTGAAGTATCATCTAGATGGTGTAAGAGGAATGATTCTCCTAGGGTCCTTTCGGTTCTAGGTATTCAGAGAACTTAGAACTAGTCCTTGTAACAAAATCACTAAAATTTACCTGGAAAACGTGAAGCATTTTAACTTTTAGCTTTGGTGCATTTCCTTAAAATAAGTTCATGAACTGGTAAAAGTTCTATATACTCTGATCACTGTAGTTCTAATATAATGCAAGAAGAATTTGGTGAACTCAACTTGCTGATAGATTTTAAAAAATAAAAATAAATTTATTAATCACCAACTATGTTCTCAAGCATTATACTACTAAAGGCTTTTATGTATTTATTTTTTTTTTTCAAAAGATTTTATTTATTTATTTGACAGACAAAGATCACAAGTAGACAGAGAGACAGGCAGAGAGAGAGGAGGAAGCAGGCTCCCTGCTGAGCAGAGAGCCCGATGTGGGGCTCGATCCCAGGACCCTGAGATCATGACCGGAGCCGAAGGCAGAGGCTTTAACCCACTGAGCCACCCAGGCGCCCCATTATGTATTTATTTTTAAAGATTTTATTTATTTGCCAGAGAGCGAGAATGAGAGAGTGAATGAGCGTAAGTAGGGGGAGCTGCAGGCAGGAGAAGCAGGCTGAGCAGGGAGCCCAATGCAGGACTCAATCCCAGACCATGGGATCATGACCTGAGCCGAAGACAAACACTGAACTGACTGAGCCACCCAAGTATCCCACTACTATGGGCTTATAGGTAGCAAGTATGCTGAATTCTACTGTTATATGTTGATTTTAAATAATAATGATGATGACAATGACGATAACAGTGAAGAGCATTTCCCAACAGCTTACCAGGAGGGTAGTTAGCCCAAAAAAGGTGAGGAAAACACATGTAAAAAAGGCCGGTCAGTTGAAAGAGGTAGGAGGGCAAGCTGCGACATTCTCTTACAACGTATAAATATATCAAGAAACCACTTATAGGGGCGCCTGGGTGGCTCTGTGGGTTAAAGCCTCTGCCTTTTGGCTCGGGTCATGATCCCAGGGTCCTGGGATCGAGCCCCATGTCGGCCTCTCTACTCAGCGGGGAGTCTGCTTCCTCCTCTCTCTCTGCCTGCCTCTGCCTACTTGTGATTTCTGTCAAATAAATAAATAAAATAAAAAAAAATCACTTATAAAGAAGAAAGGGAGAAAAAAAGAAAAGAAGTAGTTCAAAAAACTCATCAGAGGTAAAATAGGTAAAGGGGATTAAGAGTATACTTATGGGGTTGCCCAGGTGGCTCAGTTGTTTAAGTGGTAAAGCGGCTACATTCGGCTCAGGTCATAATCCCATGGTCCTGGGATGGAGCTCCAAGTCAGTTCCCTGCTCAGCTGGAAGTCTGTTTTTCCCTCTCCCTCTGCCCCTTGCCCCCACATCCCCTGCTCATGCTCTCTCTCACTCTCTCGAATAAATAAAAATCTTAAAAAAAAAAAAAAAAAAAGGAGTATACTTATGGTAAGCACTGAATAATGTATAGAATTGTTGAATCACTATATTGTACACATGAAACTAATATAACATTGTAGGTAATTATACTGGAATTGAAAAAAAGTGGGGGAACCTTGTCAGGATGTATATATTTGTTTCTTAACTGGAGTTTCAAAGAGTGATGTTTAAAATGTACTAGAATTCAGTTATTTTTGATAAATCAACTAGATATATTTTAATGTGGATCATGAGGATGAAAGCTGCATTTCTCACATGACACAGGTGGTCTGCTCCCCTTAAAGGAGAGTCTTTACTTTTATGTCACTGTTACCAAGATAAATCCTAAGACCCAAATTTAACAAGCAAAACTAAGAAACTTTCAAAGAGTTACTAGAAAGGTATCTTTGAAGATCTCTTTTACTGATTAGACTTGTAAGATAAAGACCATGGAAAAAAATTCTGTGTGGTTATAAATAGTTGTGAATCACTGAATTTTACTTGTTCAAATAAAGGATAAAGGAAATTAATAAATGAGTAAAATTAAGTGACCTTAATAAAGCACATTGTGAAAACCAGACAATTCTTTGCCTAGCCCCGTAGTGACTTTCCTCATATACTTACTTACTTTCTCATATACTTACTTTCTCCACATGGCAATGAATGACTGTGCTGATACAAATCCTGTCCTCTCTCCCCCCGCAGCCCTAAACATGGGGGCTTTCCAATAGAGAGGACAGCCACAGAGCTGCAAATAAAACACAAATACAGTGTAAGTCAAGGGGCGGTGAAAAGGTGACAGAGCCAAACAATGGGCCCTTGTGGCTTTTACCCTTCGTGCCACAGTGGACAGAGGGTCCCTGAAGGAGCAAAACTGGGGCAGAGGCAAATATACAAGCCATGGTAGATTCAGAGAGAAAGAGGGCAAACAATGAAGGAAAGGGAAATCCATTTACCTTTTCTCCAAGTTCATTTACATGATGTGTTCTTTTCCTTTCCTGATAGTTAAAGCAACCAGTCTCCCTTCCTACCACTTGGTTGGTCACTTGGTGTTAGTACACTCTCCCACCCATCTCTTCTTTGATTATTATGTTATTAAGCTCCAGGGTCAGGGGGAACTGTAAAAGCCTAGACTGTTCAAGAAAATAGCTATCTACCTAAATGGTTACAATGCAGATATAAGGTTAGAGATAAAAATCAAAATGCTATCATTTATTTATATATTAGAAACTACCACAAATGGCTACATATTATAAAAGCCTTAGGAGGAACTGGGAATGATTATAAAACTACAATATACAACTACAATAATCTAAAAGGTATTTTTTTTTCCTTCAATAAAAAACTCTTTCTTTCAATTACTTATACTCTCACAAGAAAAAGTTCGGACTACCTGGTCTGAGATTATGAGTCTGAGTTATGCTGAGAGAACAGCCAAAGGCTGCTGGATTCACGCTGGAGATGAGGATATGGAAGGTGAGATTCGAGCAGAGGGAGGTAAGTACGGGGCAGAAATAATAGCTGGTCCTGCCTGGGCCACTAAATCATGTTAGGCAAACAGGGTGGAATTTAAGATTTCTTAAGTCCAGAGGTCAAATACCTCCACTGAGGTCAAGAATGAGGGAAAGGTGTTGCTTAGCAACCAAATGGATTTTGTTTATTGTGTAAATTATGATTGCCTAAGTACAAAGCTCACAATTAATATACTTTGGGTGGTAAACTGTCAACTCCACTTTCCAATCCCAATCTTCCCTTTCATGCAGAATGGTAGTCTGCCAAGAAAATGCTCTTAGATGTGACAGGCAACTGGAAACTGCTAAGAAAGCTTAAAACAATAGTCTGTATTGTAGAGGTGGGAGTGCAGAGCCCCAAGCAGAGAAAGTAAGTACAGGGAGAGATTGGAACTGGCTTGCCAAAGTGCTTGAAATTCCCATCCTTATAGTTACTCATGGATTTTTCTGAATTGGAAGACTCAGGAATCTTCCAGCTCAACCTTGGGAAGTGGTCACCATGCCTTAGCTGAAACACTACCAGGGACTGTGTGTTTATATAACTTTCATTCCCTTGGATTATAGTCTTTTTCTCCAGAAAACTGTTAAAATGCATACATACGAGTTCCTAAGGAGTAGTAAGTTGCTGAGAGATTGACACATACATTTATTATGACTCAAAGGCAAAATCCTAAGAGATAAGTTATAGAATGGATAGGTTTTTAAAATAGATTGGGTGGTGCCTAGGGGCACAGTCAGTTGAGCAACCAACTCTTGCTTTTCACTAAGGTTGTGAACTCAGGGTAGTGAGATTGAGCCCCGCATCAGGCTCTGAGCTCAGGGTGGAGTCTGCTTAAGACTGTCTCTCTCTCCCCCTCTGCCCCTCCCCTTCATGATCTCTCTCTGAAAATAAATCAATCTTTAAAAAAATAAAACAGATTGAAAAGGGCTGGCCTATTTTTCTCGTAGTGGGGTACTGTAAATAGCCACGTGTTAGGCAGGCAGCATGAGGGTATTAGCTCTTGGAGAAAATGCCAAAGAAAAAAAATGCAATGTAGACATTACACTTTGGCTATTTAAAAAAATGTACAGCTGGTTGTATCTGCTTAAAACCGAAGAATTAAGAAAAGGGGTGTCAGAAGATCAATGAGAACCTAAAAAAGTAAATGCTATTAACCTGAGGGCAATAGAATAGAGACTTTAATAACAGAGGAGAGAAAAAGCCAGTGTCAAGACTTTTTGACAAGACAAGTGGAGATATGGAGGGAGATACAGAAAATGGGTTTAGGAAACTCAGAGGAGGAAAAGTCAGTCTATAGCAATCAAAATTGCTGAAGCAAGGAAAATCTAACAACTATAATTTGACCTAAGGATGGCCCAACAACATTAAGAATTGAAAGCAAGGCCATCTAATGAGTCACATAGGAGGAGGACATGATTATCCAATACCTGCAATGTTCTTTAACATTTAAAATGTCTTACGCCTGTTATTTCATTTGATTATCACACAATCCCCATGCAGAAGAGGGCAAATATTTTCAGCCCATTCTACAGATGAAGAAATAAAGGTACAGAGAAGCTGCCTTACAGGACACAGGCATGATAGGTCAAGGCAGTGCTACCTCAGCCAGAAGAGAGAAGCTGATGATCTCTGTAAGTTCAGAAGACACTTTCCCTCTTCTTCTCAACTTTCTGCTAGCGGTTAAAACTCCATGGTGAGTCTTCTGATCCCAAAGACAAATGCTTTTCTTTTTAAAAATTTTTAAAGATATTATTTATTTATTTGACAGACAGAGATCACAAGCAGGCAGAGAGGCAGGCAGATAGAGAAGGGGAAGCAGGATCCCCGCCAAGCAGAGCCCGACGCGGGGCTTGATCCCAGGACCCAGGGACCATGACCCGAGCCAAAGGCAGAGGCCTTAACCCACTGAGCCACCCAGGCGCCCCGACAAATGCTTTTCTTAGTGTTCCTCAGTGTATGTTCCTACTCTGCTTTTCTCTTAGATTCATTCTCTGTATTAATTTCTTCTCCCTCATCACTTAAAGCTGTGGGAAAAAGTACATATTACACACTGAGAATTTAATCAGAAATGGTATTAATGTCTCCATGGCTGTTTGAGGTAAAAAATGAATTAGGTAAACTTCAGCAATAGATGCAGATTTCATAAACACAGCGTTTTCTTTGCACTTCAAAAAACAGACCCCAGTCTCTACAGCTACATTCAAGTGTAGCCTGTACTAAGAACAGACTGCAGACTCAAGCTGGCCTTCCCAACAGCTTTACAGACTACAAGAATTCTGAGACGGGTTCATTTATTGCTCTACCTCTCCCTTCATTGTCCCTTAAAGGCTGTCTTTCTTCTCCTCTACCTACACCCAACTTGTCATGAGAATACAAGCACATGCAGTGCAAATGTTATGGGCACAGAGTTCACCCTCTGGCAGAGAAGACCGATGCACACAGGAAAAGAGACTGAAAACAGGACGCTTAGTGAGTGTTAATAGACAGCCATAGCCAAGTAAAAGCTGGGTTAAATGGGGATTAGCTAAATGCAAGAAATGATGACATAAATCTATTGAATGCTAGAGGACCACTGAACCATGGAGCAGGTAGCGCTACAATGAGACAAGGGCAGAAGGGCCACAGCAGAAGGGTAGAGACAAGGCTGTGGAAAGGCAGAGGAGAACAGGATCCTCAGTCAAGCAGGGAATATTCAGAGGAGGAAAGCTGATCTACAGGACTTGTATTCCAGACGGAACAGGTGTGGGTCTCACTTGGATTGGCTCTCCATTTGTAGTGTGCCCAGCACAGCACCAGGAACTATTATGTCCCTTAATCTGTACAGTTTCTCCTTGTCTGCCTGCCTGAAGCAATCCATGAAACTGCCTGTTTCTCTTACCCACACTGTTGGCATGTTAGAAATAACCTTGTTTGGCATTTATGCAGTTAACATTTTATCTCTAAATGCAGATTTCCTTCAGCCTTACTAAATTCTGTCTCTTGGATTTAGATTCATAGTACCACCTCATTCAGATAATTTACCATCTTGGCTCATACAGTTGCCATCTCTCAAAGTTTTGGGTAAGAAAATACCAATGCCCGGAAAGAACCTGTAATTTATTTGGGTGGATACTGATTGGAAGTTAGCTAACGGTATGTTAGCATATGCTCAGGGGAGATAACATATGGTAGAAACAGTACAATGCCAGGAGTTAGAGGACTAGCCTCCTGAAATGTGCTAGTTCGTGACTTCAGGTTAAGTACTCACAGAACTTCAGTTTCCTTAAGTCTCAAATAGAGAGGTAAGGGTCCTGGGATTGAGCCCCGCATCGGGCTCTCTGCTCGGCAGGGAGCCTGCTTCCCCCTCTCTCTATGCCTGCCTCTCTGCCTACTTGTGATCTCTCTCTGTCAAATAAATAAATAAAATCTTAAAAAAAAAAAAAAGAATCTATCTGCTTTACTTTTTTTTTTAAAAATATTTTATTTATTTTATGGACAGAGATCACAAGTAGGCAGAGAGGCAGGCAGAGAGAGAGGAAGGGAAGAAGGCTCCCTGTTGAACGAAGAATCCAATGTGGGGCTCGATCCCAGGACCCTGGGATCATGACCTGAGCCAAAGGCAGAGGTTTTAACCCACTGAGCCACCGAGATGCCCCTACTTTTTTTTTTTTTAAATAAAGATTTTATTTATTCATTTGACAGAGAGAGAGGCAGTGAGAGAAGGAACACAAGCAGGGGAGTGGGAGTGGGGGAAGCAGACTCCCCCGCTGAGCAGGGAGCCTGAGGCGGAGCTTGATCCCAAGATCCTGGGATCATACCTGAGCCGAAGGCAGACACTTGATGACTGAGCCACCTAGGCTCCCTGCTTTACTTTTTCTAAGTGTGGTATTTTGCTTAACACAATGTGCTCAATAATTTGATTAAAGAGAAGAATATAAAACAAAAAAAACCCTAAAAAGCCCCAACAGTAACAAATGTTCTGAATGTAGGTAGAGAAGAGGGCAGGACGTGACTGAAGTGGGTATTCAGGGACTTCTCCAAAGACATGATGGAAGGTAGGTCTTAAAGGATGAGTGAAGTGGGGGCTGGCAGGAGTGGAAGCCCATTTTGGAGGGGAGAACTGGGAGAGCTCAAATGCAGAGGCAATCCTATGGGAGGGCAAATAGGTCAGGCTTAGGCAGGGAACAGTGGTTTGGGTTTTGTCCTCAAGATCAGTAGTATCCAAACTTTAAAACCTTATCACTGAGGGGTGCCTGGGTGGCTCAGTCAGTTAAACATCTACCTTCGGCTCAGGTCATGATCCCATGGTCCTGGGATCAAGCCCTGCATTGGACTCTCTGTTCAGCAAGGAGCCTGTTTCTCCCTCTGCCTTCTCTGCCTGCTGCTCCCCCTGCTTGTGCTCTCTCTGGCAAATAAATAAAATATTTAAAAAATATTATTCCTGGAAGCAGGGGAACTGTGAAAGTGCACACGGGGTCTCAGGAGCTTCCACTTAGTCTACTACTTGCCCACATGCAACCCCTAGTCTCTGCCTCTTGAAGCACAGCCTGAACCACTGCTAAATCCTGATATGATCTGACCCTTCAGTTTATATGCATGAAAATAAAACCCAAACAAAACAAAGCGAAGTGCTGCCACAGATGGTGAGCTGGGGAATGCCATGATCAAATATAATCTGATGCTCATGCTCAGTATTAATTGTTCTAGGAGGAGACAGAAGATGTAGCATCCAGTTACTGAAGATATTCAGTAGTCCTGGCATGAAAGGCTAAGATCCTAAATTAGAAGCAGTTGGGTACACTGGAAGGTATCAAAGACTTGGTTCCTAGCAGTAAATCCATGTATTTCTGAGTAGAATTAGTGTTGAGCTGGCCCAATGGTTCCCTGTCTGGCTTCAGGGCTGAGTTACGATTAATGGGTGACAACAAAAAAAGACATTCATATTCAATACAAGGAAAATTTTTCTAACAAGTGAGGCTATTTAATAATGGAACAGGTTGCTTGGCAAGACAGTGAGCTTCCTGTCACTGAAAGCATTCAAGCAGAGAATGAATTTATGTGTTGATGATGTCATGGATGAAATTCCTATATTAAATGGGAGGATAAAGAGGAAAAACACTAAAGTTTTATTCAAACTTATGAGTTCCATGAAATGGGACCATAGACGGTGTATCAGGATCAAATAAATTTTTTCAACAAGGGAAAAAACTAAGCCATGCTTAAAAACAGAGAGCAAAGAGGCAGTGAAGAGAGAGAAATTGGGACTGTTAGAGAAAGAGAGATAATACATCAGTTAGTAGTTACATTACCTTTGCAATTTTTCCCATTTCATAGATGTCCGCTTTCTGATCTTCAATATCCAGGAAAGCAGTTTCAATTTTGCTTAGAGTCTGTTCATGGTTACTGCAGGCATCGGGGAGTCCTTCAGGAAAGTAGAACTGTGGAATGTTTATGGACAATGGTGCACTCACAACATTATTCACATGAGGAACAACGGAGAGAGGCTGGGGACTACTTGGAAAGGTGGCTGTAGGTTGAAGAGGTGTTCCAGGTTTCTTTTCTGGTTTATTTTGAATCTGGAAGGAAAATGTGATTATGAGACACAAAAATTCTAAACAGCATATATTTCTTGAAAGTCCTGACCAGTAATAAGAATAGAGACAGTAGAGATCAAGAGCTCACTCTACTTCTACAGGATGATAAGTTTGCTTCTAGGGAATGCTTATCCATAAAAAGTAAATACATTAACTATCTGTCAATACCAGAGTTTACATAGATTTATGCTTTAAAAATCCGACAGTGTATTCTGTATCTTCAAGTGTATTCTTAGTCTGTTGGAATTGGATTAGTAAATTTTTTTCAAAGACTGTTCATCTTTCTGCACATTTCTACCTCTACTTCAACAGGCACATAGAATAAGTTCTTTGAGGGGCGCCTGGGTGGCTCAGTGGGTTAAAGCCTCTGCCTTCAGCTCAGGTCATGATCCCGGGGTCCTGGGATCGAGCCCCGCATCAGGCTCTCTGCTCCGCGGGGAGTCTGCTTCCTCCTCTGCCAGCCTCTCTGCCTACTTGTGATCTCTGTCTGTCAAATAAATAAACAAAATCTTTAAAAAAAAAAAAAGAATAAGTTATTTTAAAATGCATAAATCTGAAATATATTAGGGGGGCTCCTTTCACCTTCTTCTCTCTAGTTTGACTTTGTCTAGGTAAAATCACCATCAGTCCCTGATGCAGAGAAAGTCTTTGTTAAGAAAATTAAAGAGGTTTAGTTTTGGAATGTCTTTCACCAGGTTGATTTACTTGCCCCTGGGGGCATGCCATTTTTTTCTATGATACATGTTTCTCTCATTTTTGGTACACTCCAGTAATAGGCAAGGATCGTGGTTATTAATTTCATCACAGCCAAACTCCCTTTAGAGTTTAATTCATTTATAGTTTATATCATTCCTTTTTCCAAAAAGGATTTGATGTGGAATGCCATAAAGAGACATAAGAAAGGACAGTATATGGGTGGGGTGGGGGGTGGTGGGCAATGAAGACATTAAGATTATCTATGATTTAGGGAAAGGGGTAGAGAGGTACACTAACATTCAGGTAGAAGTCTACTTTACCAATGAAGACTAAATTTAGTTCTGAGATTCCTGGCAGAAAAAGCAAAAAGAATCCCATGAAGACTTTCAAAGTTTTAATTTCTTCTCTTAATTTTGATCAAATTATCTATCAAGGGTCATGGGCACAGCCACTTCATAAAGTACTTCATGAAGTATGAAAGTGTGACATGACTGCTGACCACCATGAACATATAGTATTACTCAAATGTTCATTTTCCTTAAATTATACTAATGCCATTCCTAAAGTCTTAACAATGATTTATCTCTGTGTGGTAGATCTGAATATCATATTTCCTTTTGACATATGGGCTCTTAACAGACCTTTAAACTCAGGATAAAAATCTTGGCTACCCTTGAAAAGCATGAGTATTATAGGAAGATAAGCTTCATTCACATAAATATGTGATGAATATGACTTAATCTTCTCTTGTCACGCATGGCCCATTTTTCAGGTTAATATCTGACACTAATACACTAGAGTCGAGCCTGCTCATATATTAATACTACTGGGGATATAAAGGCCAGTTGGTCATGCCAAGATTTTGCTGCACTATAAAGATGTCACCCCTATAAAATAACAGACAAGGAAAACATCGCACAGAGAGAAGTGAGGCTAATGAAATATGAAAAACTTAAAAGAAAACAGTGATGGGGGTGTCTGGGTGGCTCAGTGGGTTAAGCCGCTGCCTTCGGCTTAGGTTATGATCTAAGGATCCTGGGATCGAGTCCCGGATTAGGCTCTCTGCTCAGCGGGGAGCCTGCTTCCCTCTCTCTCTCTCTGCCTGCCTCTCTGCCTACTTGTGATCTCTCTCTGTCAAATAAATAAGTAAAATCTTTAAAAAAAAGAAAACAGTGGTGGCTCTGATGTGATGAGCTCTCTCACAGTGATGAGTTCCGTGACCTCAGGGAAGTTACTTAACATTTTAGAATTCAGTAATAAAATAGATTATAACTCCTACTTCTTGAAGATTGTTGTGAAGATTAAAGGAAATTACAGGATGTAACTAATACAGGTAAAAGATTCAGAACAGTGCTAGGCACAGATATGTCCTTATTTAAGCAAATGAGCCACAAGTCCACAGGGTGAGGTTCTCAAAAGGTTAAGCATACTTTGGCATGGTCCTTCAGATTCAACAAGAAACGATCATTTATATTTGTAAAACAAGTTAAAGTTTACAAACCACTTTTGACTTAACAAATTGATAATCTGTACATAAACATTACTCTCTGTTTTAATGCTAAGTTGTAAATATTATTACAATGTCCCATGAGTCAATAACAGTAGAAACTGTTCCTAAACTTCTACAAGAAGACATATAATTCTTCAGGGGCTTTATGTTTTTTTTTTTTTTTTAAGATTTTATTTATTTATTTGTCAGAGAGAGAGAGGGAGAGAGAGCGAGCACAGGCAGACAGAATGGCAGGCAGAGGCAGAGGGAGAAGCAGGCTCCCCGACGAGCAAGGAGCCTGATGTGGGACTCGATCCCAGGACGCCGGGATCATGACCTGAGCCGAAGGCAGCTGCTTAACCAACTGAGCCACCCAGGAGTCCCAGGGCTTTATGTTTATATGTAAATAGGTCATTTATATTAGTGTCATCCCCTTTCTATTATTCTATGCTGAAACAGGTCTGTAACTACAAGTATACAATCATAAAAATTCTTTTTTTGTTTCCCCAAATGTTTTGTGTGGTGTGACATCCAGGGAGTTGTAACCATAGGATTAAGAACACTGGTGCCAGTGGGGATGAAATCCAATAGTATAGTGAACATGCACTAGTGAAAAAGTTTTAGGGCAAGGCCTTCTATGTTAACTCTACATGTCTGCTTCAACAGAAGTAAGTAAAAATTGAGAACAAACCCTGGCTATCTGTCAAAGTTTTTATTTAAATGGGTATTCAATTATATAACCCACTTTTCTTTCCTTAGCGTACTTGTTAACATCAAGCAATTCACTGATAGGGAAGTATTTTTTAATTCTTTGTTAAATCTGATATTTAACAAAATTGATGTTAATATTTAAAAGGGAAAAGAAAAAGAATGCATTTATTTTGTACTTTTATGTGTTATCAATTTACTTTCCACTGAATTCAATAGAAAACACGTAATTTAAAGTAGTTTCATAAAACTAGCCCTTTATAAATACTACAGAATAATACAGTTTTATAAAATTTGGGAGATTTACCAGCAAGTTTGGCACTCATTTTGAAAAAAACTTTATTTTTGAATAAAAAATTTTTGAATAAAAACTCAAATTTAGAAACAGCATTAAAATAGAACTAGCTGGGGAAAGTATCTCAATTCTCCATTTCAGTTTTGGTCTAAAAACATCGTATCATTTAGTATCCTTATACTATTATGTCACTGTAGCATTTTCAGTATTTGACCGTTTTTGACCTGTTTTTAAAAATAGGCAATTTCATATGGTTCACTCAATCTGAAATTACTCTAGGTCATAATAATTATGAAACTATGGTTTCTTGCCGAATTCTGGGTGGCCATCATTTGTATGACCCTTGATTCATACTGTATTCAAGGTAAGGCAAATTGGTAAAACACTGGCCCTACAGAATATGCAAGGAAGCATGGATTCTGCAAAGTTGTCATCACAGGCAGAAATGACTCAGTATCACAGCTTGCTGAGAGAGGACATTTCTTTTACAACCCAGAAATTAAGTGCCATCCTTTGTTACCTACATACATTATATCATGTCCACACAACTCTCTCTATACATAATTAGTTCTTCCTTCAAAAGAAGATTACTGGGACTGATACTTTAAAAACAATTCATTACAGATGTATATATGTTAATACAAACATAGTCTATTGATTCAAAGGGCAAAGAAGAATTTTAACACAAAAATTCTAGTTTCTCAAAGATACTTCTATTAAATTTGAAATTGTACGATACTTGTTGAGGTGTAATTATTGTCTCTAAAACTGGATTCCCTCTCTACAAGACAAAAATATGAGTACTGTACTTCAGGTCCAGAAGGTCTATTTTTAAACCTGTTGGAATCTCTCTACAAATAGCTTTCTGCAAATAGCTGAATAGAGGACACAGATTAATTCCTTGATCTAATATCAAGTGAGCTGTAAAATTATTTGTAAGTTAGTTCACTGGGTGGTTTTATTAGTAATAAAAATATTTTAAAAGAAACACCCAAGTTCCAAACCTGTGTCTGCTGAAATGACTTCAGCCGCTTCTTAAACCGTGACGGGAGAACAAAATCACAGCCCCTTGCCAGGAAAGCTAATTCTCCCCTTAAATCCGGGTCCCTTCGTAGAGATGTTTCCTTGATCATCATCTTTGAAAAGTGGATGTTTACTTAGCCACTGTCCAGCACACTTCTGAAGATGGTCAGATTTAAAAAGTTGTCAATCTTGTCAAGTAGAGAGGTATTTTCTTCTTATCTCCAAAAGAAATTAAGTTCAAACATTGTGCTCTCCCAGTCTCCAGGGACCACAATCCATGCTTGTACTGACATGCAACTGGTTCCCAAATATAGCCAGTGGCTCCCAATATCTGATCATAATTTTCAAGTTAGAAACACGCCTGCAGTGGGCCTGTTGCTCCTTGTAGATAGCTTTTTGTCAAATTGACCTGCACATGTTGAGAATACAGAGCCTTCTGGGAAAGGAAGCACCCACTACTCTAGCACCAAAGTTAGAAACATTACAGCTGGACCTAAAAATAGCAACTTCTCAGATAATGCTAACTTCTTAAACTCAGAGTATGTGAGATATCAATCCACATAAATCAGTTTCTCCTCAAACTATTAGAAAAAGAACATGTAGAGCATTTTTGGTTTTGCTATTTAGTGTTTTATGAAAAAAGAACAAGCTACACTTCAAATTTCAATCTATCATTTTAAGAACAGTTTTTAAAATTTCTTCTTTGAAGGGAAGCAAATACAAAAAACCCTCTAGATATATCCAGTGAAAATATGGAGAAAAACGTTCACC